GTCCTTCGCAACAACGGAGCTGCAATTGCTAATAAAGTTGTTGCTAATAATGTTGCTTCTGTTTCAAATGTTGTTGAATCTGTTTCGATGATTTCTATCAATAAGAATAATCCCGTTGCTTATTTGCTTGAGTCATTTGATATTTGGCATGAAAGGTTAGGACATGTGAATTATAAATCGATAAAAAGATTAATGAACTTGAACCTAATCCCAAAATGCAAAGCAAGCAAAGAAAAATGTGAAATGTGCGTACAAGCCAAACTCACAAAAACTCCATCACCCCAAGTTGAAAGAACAACTGAACCTCTAGGTCTAATACATACAGACTTGTGTGATTTAAAATATGCACCAACTAGAGGCGGTAAAAAATATTTTGTAACGTTCATCGATGATCACACAAAATATTGCTATGTATATCTGTTACGTAGTAAGGATGAGACCTTGGAAAAATTCAAGGAATATAAACGTGAAGTTGAAAACCAACTTAATAAAACTATTAAAATAGTTAGAAGTGATAGAGGAGGCGAATATGATGGACCGTTTAATGCCTTTTGTTTAGAACATGGGATTATCCATCAAACAACCGCTCCTTATTCTCCAGAATCTAACGGAGTTGCGGAACGAAAGAACCGAACTCTAAAAGAGATGATGAATGCGATGTTACAGGAATCTGGGTTAGCCCAGGACATGTGGGGGGAAGCTTTACTTACCACAAATTATATCCTTAATAAGATACCACACAAAGTCACAGGAAAAACTCCTTATGAACTTTGGAAAGGTACTCCACCATCGTATAAATACTTGAAAGTGTGGGGGTGTCTAGCAAAAGTCGCTATACCACCTCCGAAAAAGGTCACAATCGGACCAAAAACAGTGGATTGTATTTTTATTGGATATGCACACAACAGTAGTGCTTATCGGTTTCTGGTTCATAAATCAGAAGTACCGGATATCCACATTAATACAACCATGGAATCTAGAAACGCATCTTTCTTTGAACACGTGTTTCCGTGTAAGGATAAACAAAATTCTAAACGAACTCGTGAAGAAAGAGATATAATCACCTCTGTAAATGAGGCAAGCACTTCAGGCACATCCTTTGATGATGCAAGAGAAGTACAAGATGAACCTAGACGTAGCAAAAGGGCTCGCAAGGAAAAATCTTATGGCGAAGATTTCTTAATGGTCTTTCTTACAGAAAATGAACCAAAAACTTTTGCTGAGGTCATGTCTACACCAGACGCACCTTTTTGGAAGGAAGCTGTTAATAGTGAGATCGACTCTATTATGCAAAACCATACATATGTGATAACCGATCTACCACAAGGGTTTAAAGCACTAGGGTGTAAATGGATTTTCAAAACAAAGCTGAAAATCGATGGCTCCATAGAAAAATACAAAGCTAGGCTTGTGGTCCAAGGATTCCGGCAAAAAGAAGGCTTAGATTTCTTTGACACATATTCTCCAGTAACGAGAATAACCTCAATCCGACTGCTATTAAACATCGCAGCATTGAGAAACCTAGAAATCCATCAAATGGATGTAAAAACTGCCTTTCTAAATGGCGATTTAGAAGAGGAAATTTATATGAAACAACCCGAGGGGTTTGTAGTTCCAGGTCAAGAACATAAAGTTTGTAGACTTGTAAAATCATTGTACGGACTTAAACAAGCTCCAAAACAATGGCATGAAAAATTTGATAATGTAATGATGTCAAATGGTTTCATTATCAACGAATGTGATAAATGCATCTACATAAAATGTACATCACAAGGGTATATTTTATTATGTTTGTACGTAGATGACATGCTCATTATCGGAAGCACGAAAGATCTTATCAATCAAACAAAGCAATTGCTAAGCAGCAAGTTTGATATGAAAGATATGGGACTCGCAGATGTAATTCTAGGGATTAAAATAACTAGAAATTCTGATGGAATCATCCTGTCTCAAGCTCACTACGCTGAAAAAATACTTGAGAGATTTAAAAACTACTCAAACTGAACAGCAAAAACTCCAGTAGATTCACAACTTCACTTGACAAAAAACACGGGTGAAGCGGTGTCACAACTGGAATATGCAAGAGTGATCGGAAGTCTAATGTACCTAACAAATTGTACAAGACCTGATCTAGCGCATGCAGTAAACGTACTAAGTCGCTACACAAGCAATCTGGGACATAATCATTGGAAAGCTATAACCAGAGTATTAAATTACTTAAGGTATACCAAAAAATATGGTCTTCACTATGGTAAAGAACCAGCAGTCTTAGAAGGATACAGTGATGCAAACTGGATATCTGATTCTAAAAACTCAAAATCCACGAGTGGATATGTCTTTACACTTGGGGGTGGAGCGGTGTCCTGGAAATCTTCCAAACAAACTCTGCTAGCTAGATCCACCATGGAATCTGAGTTTATTGCGCTAGACAAAGCCGCAGAGGAAGCAGAATGGCTTCGAAATTTTTTGGAAGATATCCCTATGTGGGAGAAACCAGTGCCAGCATTACGTGTACACTGTGATAGCCAATCAGCTATTGCTCGGGCACTGAATAATCTTTACAATGGTAAGTCTCGTCACATTAGACGACGACATAAAACCATTAGACATTTGATCTCAAGTGGTGTAATCACGATAGATTATATCAAATCAGCGGACAACCTAGCGGATCCATTTACTAAAGGCTTGTCAAGAGATCAAGTTGTAAAATCATCAAAAGGAATGGGTTTAAAGCCTATGAATTAAAGATGAAGTTTGATGGAAACCCCACCTATGTGACTGGAGATCCCAAGATCTAGGTTCAAAAGGAAAACTAAATCAAATGGATTCTAAAAAGAGCACTGTGAGACTTGTTCTCTACTCAGTTCCTAGGATGATAAACAATGCTATATACATGTACGTGATAAGGCTAAGCGTTGGCTTTTAATGATTCCATAACTTTGTAAAGAGTGAAGTATAACATGATACTTCTGGATAAGTTATTGGCAGATCACCTAGTGAGTGAGAAATGGGGCCGTTTCTAGGAGAATAAAAGTAAGGCTATATTCTCTAAGTTCACTCATGAATAACCAGGCATGTTCAAGGCCAAAATGAACACAATAGAGAACTTAGTTCTACAAGAAATGAAGCTGTATTATAGCTGTTGTCTTGGTTTACATCAAAATCCGGGTGGTTCAAGACATCATGTTCACCTCCTGGCCAAGTAAACCCGGCAGATATTAAAAATGAGTGGTTCAAAGCTGAAAAATGCTACTTACTCAAACACAGTGAATTTTCGTTTAAACTTTCGAAAAGTCCGTCTGTCTAAGTCTTAGGTGTAAGTATAGTCAGTCGAGTCAAGTAGAATCAATCGAGTCGTCATATGTTTTAGAGTCATTTCTATTCATGTGGGGGATTGTTGGAACTCGTTTTTGACATAATGGTTTAAAACCATTACCGGTGAGTTTCCGGCGAAGACGTTCGTCGGAATAACCGGAAGTTAAGCTAGTCAAAATCAGAGTTGTTGTGAATGAGAAATGGAGGTCCATATTGGGTTGCTTGTTAAGCTTAAAACATTATATTTATAAAATATCTTATTTGGAAGTTAGAGGTGAAATTCCTTTTATATATAAAGTGGAGAATTCTAAATATACAGATTGGTATATATAGAAAATGGATGATAAAATCGGACTTATATTTCGAGTCTCAAAATTTGACTAATGGAACAATAAATCAAAATTATTCTTTTAGAATAAAGTATTTTTTGTTGAATTCTATTGTTCACAAAGTTAATAAAAATATCATCTATAATTAGTGTTGTCAACGTGAATGAAAGGAGCATTAAGTATAAATTCAATTCTGAATTTGTAACATAAAATGTTAACTCACGTCAACCTAGTTATTATGAGAATATATATTCTAAATCTCCCTTTATTACTTTTACGTTGCATATGTTTAAAGTATAGCTGTTGGTAACGTGAGTCAAGAGGTGTTTAAAATGCAAAATCAATTTGATTTGTGTAACTTAAATCAAAAGGATGATTACACGCTCCATATGCAATCTCCATTTATTGTTACTACATTAATGTTGGTCGAGAAAATTGACTATATAAACAAGTCATTTCTTCTCATTTGACATATCGAACAACACACAACAAAATATCTCTCTCACTCTAAAAGTGTTCTTGTTCTAGCAATCCTCTGTTCTAAGTAAGTCTCGAGAGTTTAAAGTAGTTTTTTAAGTTCGTAGATTCCGTTTTTTCGAGTGCTGCGAAACGGTCTATCATCGGTTGTATCCTGGGACTCTAAATCGTACAGAACTGTCTCACTACGGGCGATTTTTTGAGTTAAGGAAAGAGAATCAATTTCTCGACTCCAATTTTTATCTATGTTTTAATCGTGTTTTTAGTCTCGTTTTTACTATTTCTTTTACATCATTATCGTCTTAAAGTTATTTATTCATCGCAATTATTAATTCGGTTTTGCGGTTCCTACAGTTATCTATTACATAGCAAAGTGTGAGAGATGTGGAGTTCGAAGACACTTATCCGATGGAAAGAAGGCGTCACAATACTATTTATATCTCGACTCTTCCGGATTAACACAATGCGTTTGTATTAGTTCAGAGTTTTTAAAGATAACCTGTGCTTTATTCTTTATTAATATATGGTTAAAATAGTTTAGTCTAGGAGAAGATTTGGGATTTCAATGTTGAAAACTTGAAATAATTGTAGTCAAACATATATATATTTTCGTTTGGGCTCGTTCGATTATAACAAAAGTTGTCCCTAGCTCATAAATCTTATAAGCATGTTCTAATGACGTCAAAACAAAAAGACATGTTTTGTTCTTGTTAATCAAAAACTAATAATTGAAAAAAGGAAAAAATGAAAAACAATTGTAAAAGTTATGGACAACAAAAGTTCGAAAAAAAATAACCAAAGACAACACTAACTAGAGTCTATACAGTTTATCACACTTGATGACAGGGTTTTGGATAATTAAATTTTTAATGGCGGCAGTTCTGTAATCCGATGGACAAGAATGCTCCTCCGGGTAACGATGGGACCCGCAGAACACGTGGCCACATCTACACTGAAACCCTAGCAGCCCCACCTTCTTCTTGCACGCATTACATCTACCATTCTTCCTCTTCTTCTTCTTCTCTACCACAACCGTCGCCTCTTCAGTCTTTTCCAACTCCTTCGCCTCTTCAGCTGCTGTTTCCGTGTGGACACTCAAAGTGGTCAAGTATCTGGCAGACTCATCTTTTAATAAATCGTTGTAGCACTTAGAACAGAGGTTCTTGGTCTGTGACGTGCTGAAGAAGCCACAACCTCTAATGCAAAGAGAAGGTTCTCCGGTCATTACTGTCTTTGCCTAATCTTTAGGTCTGCAATTGCACAATTTTGTATGTCTCTTTCTCTCTCTGTATTTGCCTTCTTTGTTTTGTTTGGTTCTTCACAATCTAAGCTTAGTTATCAACTTTGTTAAGTCTCTCTGTGACTCTGTCTTTGCCTTCTTGTCTTGGCCCTCTCCACAATCTAATTTTATGTCTGAAACTTTGTATGCCTTAGTTTATTATATAGAGCTGTTAATAAATAAATAAAGTCCTTCTCCTGCAAGTATTTAGGTGTTTTACGTCCTAACCAAATTAGGGGTTTTCCTTTTAAATTTCTTAAAATCTATTACATAATGCGATAACGATTAACAGTCGAATTATCCAAAGCCCATTCTAAAAGTGAAAACATGAAAACGTTATTAATAAATAATATAAAGTTTTGCCTCCTTGAAAATCTGAGTAATAAATAAGATTACTTAGAGAAGGATTTTGCTTATTTTAATCTTCTAAGTACCAAATCGCCAGAAAGTCAAAGAGAGAGTTAGAGAGACAGGACGAGGCGGGGTCGTTAGGTCAGGGCTCGGACAAGGGTTTGTGTTCTGATGTTCAACACGGGAGATGATAGCAGAGATGTGATCAAGATTGGTCATATCAGTAGGATGAACCGTATTGAAATCATTGGAGGATGTTTGAGTCTCTCTTCTGCGAAGCAAACAACATCTATGTGCAGCTTCAGTAAGATGCCTCAAGAACTGTTCATCAAAGCTGCTAAACTGTGATTCCTCCTGGAAATAAAAAATAGATCATTAACCAAAAACTCTTCAATTTTTGTGGGTTTTTGGTTAATGATCGGTAATCAAACGATCTCATGTTAAATCGCAAAAGGAAGGCAAAATCTCATGTCCCAGATTTCAAGCAAGGGGAGAAGGATATGGCAAAATTCCAACAAGAGCTGTCAAATGCAGAACTGAAAGATATTGGAGAAAAGGCTCATATCATCTTACATGGAAAGATGTAAGAAAAATAAAAATAGGAATATTGAAGACACAAAACTGACGATTAACAGTGAACTACACAATGGGAAGTGATATTACAAATGTTGTTTTCAAATATTTTACAAAATCAAAATTAAAGGAAAGTGATTAGGCATGAAATTACAAGGGTAATTTAGAAGGAGTTCCTGCTTCGCGAGGATATTTTTGAGGGGTGGAATGGTCTTTACGACAAACAACTGTTGTTCTTTGTCCATATTGGCTATGTGAATCCACTGCACGTATATTTGCAAAGTTCGATTACCAAAAATCATAAACTAGAAATAAGTCACTGGAATGTGTAAGTTCATGTATAAGCACAAAGAAAAGCACACCTGGACTAATTTGCAATATGGAACCACCCAATATGCGAACTGCATTTTCTGCATTTTGAACTTCCTCCTGATGATGACAAATCCAGGAAACATTTATGATTTTATAACAGAACATGTTCGAGAAATTCCCTTACCTAAAATCTACTCTTACTATTAACTTCCAATATCCTTCTCGTACCCATTGAAGAACTTAAGTTTCACTAGCATCATAGATGCTTCTTCAATACAAATCAAAAACAAAATGTCACAAATGAGAACTCATACCTTAGGGTCATGACCTTTAGCAGCTACAAAAAATCCACCAACCCGAACCAGAGGAAGACAATATTCAGCTGAAAAATTCATAACAAAACCACTTTGACCAATTCATAAGCGACTATCTTTCGACCATTATACTACTTGAAACTTGTAACAGTTTACCTAAGACTCTCATCTCTGCGACAGCTCTTGCAATAGCCACATCAAACTTCTCTCTGTACATAACATCGTGCCCACAATTCTGTTCTATAACAAAAGTAGGACAATATCATTTAGAATCCACCTTACTGTCTACTATGTCACAATTATACAAACAGTTCTAAAGGGTGAGATTTTTACAACAGAATCCAAGATCAGGAATTTTTTTTTTTTTTTATCAATCTTGAATCATGATTTTCAACCATAGTAGCTCGAAAGACAACATTCAACAGACCAACATCTAAAATACTCTAATTTAACAGTATAATCTGAGTTTTCAATAGAGACATTAACAGATTATCCTCCCTGTAAAGTCTCTCTGCTTTGAAACGACAAGATGAGAAAGTCAGAAGTCAAATCTAAACAGTGTTACCATAGATACTAGAGAAATCAGGACAAGCCAAATAAAAAAGTGAATGCTAATACAATATGTAACTTAAAATAGCAAGTGAAACTATCAATTAGAATCCACCTTGCTGGCTATTATGTCAGAAAAGAAGTTATACAAACAGGATCACTCTAAAGGGCGAGACTTTTACAACAGAAATCAGAATACGGAAAAGTATTTTTCTCAATCTTGAATCATAGTTTCCAACGGCAGCTTTATACAAAGAGAGTAGCTCCAAAATATAACACTCACTAACAGACCAACATCTACAAAAACTCTAATTTAACAGTCTAATCCATAGATTCAACAGCGACAATCACAGATCATCCTCTCTGTAAAGTCTACATTGAGTTAATTTAGAATGAATGAAACTGCATCTACATTGTGTTACCTAGAGAAACCAAGAGAAGCCAAATAAACAAGTGAACATACTAATGCTTATTGCAGAAACTCATCACACAAATAAAAGAGAGCTAAACTCTAAAGGGTGAAATTTTTACAACAATCCAGAACTAGTTAACTTAATTTCTCAATCTTGAATCGTAGTTTCAAACAGAAGTTTCATACAAAGAGACTAGCTCCAAAAAAATAACATTCACTAGCAGACAAACATCTAAAATAGTGCAGTTTAACTTTCTAATCTATATAGACTAAACAGAAACATTAACAGATTATCCTCTCTGTAAAGTCTCTAAGCATTGAAACGAAAAGAAACAGCAGAGTTACTTCAGACTGAATCGAACTGATTTAAATTGAGTTTACCAAAGAGAACCCACGAATGCCTTTTGCAGAAACTCACCACACAAATAAAAGAAAGATCAAAACTGTACCTCCGCTCTGCCTCTAACAATTTTAACATTCGTAAGTCCGGTTACATTCACGACGTGCTCCAAGAAAACACAACGCTTGTTTATAGACTCCAGTAGAGTAACTCTCCAATCTAAATACAAAGAAGTTGGCTTTTTTTTATTCAATACAACAACAAGCTGCATCTGATACAACAAAACTGCAACAATCGTACCTGGACAAGCAATGGCTAGGACCAATCCAGGAAGGCCTGCACCACTTCCAACATCAATTAAATTGATGTGATCATCAAACAAATCATTGGAATGCAAGTTGTAACAAGTCTTTATAGGAGGCAATATCGCAAGAGAATCTTCGATATGCCTCTCCATTACTTCATCAGCTTCTTTAGTTGCCGTAAGGTTCATTTTCTGCGCACTCCACAAACAAAATGTCACTCCCAATTAAAACAGAGACAAACCCATTGGTTTTCAATTCGGTAGAGCATCACTTTGAGGTAAGAAACCATCCGAAACAAAAGAAAACAAGATAATTGAGAAAAATGGTCGCTTTGTTTGAGAGAGAGAGAGAGAGAGAGAGAGAGAGAGAGAGAGAGAGAGAGAGAGAGAGAGACCTGGTTCCATTGGAGAAGGGTATTGACGTAGAGATGGATTTGGGTTTGTTGGTTGGAACTGAGGCCTTTGAAACATGAAGTTGTCGTGCTAACAGCGACATCGGTGTGGGTGTTGAACTGAGAACTCTTACGAAGAAATGTGTGCGATTTTGCGCATGGAAGGTGTTTGATAAATTGCCCCAAAGAGAAAACATGTGAGACGCAGGTCATCGCTCTCACACTCTTCCAAGCACAGCAATACATTTTTTGGCTGTTTCGACTTTTGGACAAACTTGCTGGAAGGATCACCTATCCATGAAACCCAACTGTGTTGTAGGATGGAAAAGTTCGTATACGATTCATCATTTGATTTAGATGCAGGGTTTAATGATAAATTGTTGGTTTCTAAGGGTTATTTTAGACATTTCTTATTTTTGAGTGAATCATTTCTTTCCAAATGAACCGAATCGGATCGTTCAAATGAACCATTTGAATGTTTTTAATTTTTAGCATCTCCAAAAAGGTTCTTGGGTTCTGATCACTTATTTGATCAAAATTAAATAAAAAATAGGTAATTTATAAATAAAAAGATTTAAAAACTTATTTGACCGTGATTCCCCTTTTTTTAGGTACCATGTGGACAGGAGATACTACGTGCTGTCACTGATGAGGTTATGGTCGGTAAACAAACACAACTTTCATCTACATTCAAATGGTTTTATCTGGATGATCAAACGAATAAGATTACTATCAAGAGAAGTTAGGATTCTCCTAAAAACACTGACGTATCGCGTTGTGGTTGGTAAACAAACACAACTCTCATGTCTCATCTACATTCAGATGGTTATATCTGGATAATCAAACGAACATGACTACTATCAAGGAAAGTTAGGGTTCATGTGCTGGGAGGATCGTAGGTCTGGACACGGAGCGGATATCCAGAATTTTAGTAATATCCGTGATTCGCTCCGCCCCGTACGGATCAATAATTTTTTCATTTGTATTTGCTCTGTTACTAATCGGATATCCGGTATTCGGATATCCGTTAAAATCCGGATTTTTGACCGGATATCCGATCCGTTTCAAAAATATTAAATTAATTATAAAATAATTAAAATTATTTATAAAAATAATTAAAAAGTCAAAAATTAACTCATATATTAAATTTTAAATTGTTTTTTTTAAATTTCGTATTAAAATAACTAATAATATATATATAAATTCACAAAAATTTACATATAATTATATTAACTATATATTCTATATATAATTATTTATATATATACACATATATATGTATATCGGAGCGGATCGGATATCCAATTCTTAGAATTTTAATATTTGTTATTTGCTCCGTTTTTAACGGATATCAAAATTTATTATTTGCTTTGCTCCGTAAAACTACGGATATCCAGATTTTTCGAATCAAATCGAAACAAATAATGGATCAAATCAAATATAACAGATAATTTGCCCAATCCTTGTAAATGGTGATGATCACAAGATACAAGGCTGGTCCAAGATTTTCTTTTATGAGATGGAGGAGGGTTTTATAAATTGGACTATCTCTAAAGATGGTGATCAGATCGTTTTTGTCACCAGCATGAACATGACATACTGTGTGTCTTATATTATGATCCAAAGCAAAACAGTGTAGGAAAGAGATGTTGAGTTTGAAGACACTTGTCCGATGGAAAGAAGGCGTCACAAAACTATATATATCTCGACTCTTCCGGATTATGTCCAGAACACAATGCGTTTATATTAGTTTAAGAATTTTAAAGAGAACTTGTGCTTTTTCTTTTTTCTTTTTTTTTGTCTTCTTATTAATCTAGATAAACGATCTTATAGAATCATCTATAAATACAGAGAGGATAATATTAGGGATTACATTATAGAAATGGCAAGTTATGCTTTTTCATTATTAATAGTTTAGTCTAGGAGAAGATTTGGGATTTCAATGTTGAAATAGTTGTAGTCAAACATATTTTCTTTTTTCTTTTGTTTGTGTTCGTTCGATTTTAACATCCCTAGCTATATAACTTATAAGCATGTTCTACTAGTTCCAATGATGTCAAAACAAAAAAAAGAACATGTTTTAGTCTTGTTAATCAAAAAATCTATTAATTAAAAAAGCAAAAAGATTATAGACAAAAAAAGCTGGAAAAACAATAACCAAAGACAACACTAACTAGAGTCTATACAGTTTATCACCCTTGATGACAGGGTTTTGGATAACTAAATTTTTAATGGCGGCAGATTTGTAATCCGATGGACAAGAATGCTCCTCCGGGTAACGATGGGACCCGCAGAACACGTGGCCACATCTACACTGAAACCCTAGCAGCCCCACCTTCTTCTTGCACGCATTACATCTACCATTCTTCTTCTTCGTCTTCTCTACCACAACCGTCGCTTCTTCAGCCGCCTCCGCCTCCGCTGTTTCCGTGTCGATACTCAAAGTGGTCAAGTATCTGGCAGACTCATCTTTTAAAAAATCGTTGTAGCACTTAGAACACAGGTTCTTGGTCTGTAACGTGCTGAAGAAGCCACAGCCTCTAATGCAAAGAGAAGGTTCTCCTGTCATCACTGTCTTTGCCTAATCTTACGTCTGCGACTGCACAACTTTGTATGTCTCTTTCTCTCTCTGTATTTGCCTTCTTTGTTTTGTTTGGTTCTTCACAATCTAAGCTTAAGTATCAACTTTGTTAAGTCCCTCTGTCTTTGCCTTCTTCTTGTTTTGGCTCTCTCCACAATCTAATTTTATGTCTGAAGCTTTGTATGCCATGAGTTTATTATATAGAGCTGTTAATAAAGTCCTTATCCTGCAAGTATGTAGGTGTTTTATGTCCTAACCAAATTAGGGTTTTGCTTTTAAATTTCTTACATCTATTACATAATGCGATAGCGAGTAACAGTCGAGTTATCCAAAGCCAATTCTAAAAGTGAAAACATAAAACATTAATTAATAATATAAAGTTTTGCCTCCTTGAAAATCTGAGTAATAAATAAGATTACTCAGAGAAGGATTTTGCTTATTTTAGTCTACCACGTACCAAATCGCCAAAAAGAGAAAGAGAGAGAGAGAGAGAGAGACCATGAGCTCTGAACAATGCAGGATGCGAAGACCAACGGGGTAAGTTGATTCCATGAGAACGTACATCGCTTGCATTATAGGTCTATCTCTTCGTCAGCTTTACTTAGCACGATTCTCCTCCCTGAGATTAAGTCAACGATTCTCATTAGTAAAACCCATCGATAGCTTTGTACTTATGTTTCAAAGCAACAAACTTTAAAGTCCTGAAACCTGCAGCTTGTGGGTTTCGGTTTTGTCTCCATTGTTGGTAGACTTGGAATTAGCTTCAACACGCTTCCCTTTGAATGAGAAGTTGAAACCAGAAGCAGAAGTAGTGGTGGAGGTTGATACATGAGCAGAACTTCCAAAACGTTTTGAAGAAAGATCGAAGCGTTCGATCATCCGTGCAACCCCAGCTATTCCTGCGTTAATCTCACGTTGCACTCCTTTGCTCAGTTCTTTCACTGAGCTGTTGCGAGCAAGTAGCTTCTCCTTAAGACCTTGTTTGCTTTTAGAGATGGATTCTTTGTACCTGGAGGGCCATGGCCGGATCAATTTTCATTACCGACTTTATGAAACAATGAAGAAGGATTGAGATTTGGCTTACCTTGCAGAAGCAGCAGCTAGTTTGGATTTAATGGCTTCCGGAAGAGAGGACCCTTCAGATGGATCTGGACTTTGAGATGAACTAGATGGAGAAAGGCCAGGGGAGATTCTGATTATAAGTACAAGAAACGATGAAGATACGTTACAGAGGGTTTAGGTAAGTTGTAAGAAAATTTAAAGGCTTGAGCATTCTCCAAGAAGAAGCTGCATAACGAACTCCATCGCCATAGAAACTAAGTGAAACAAGAGATATAAAAGCATCCCCATTGTGCAGCCTTGTCTCATGTATACATATTCTCTTTGGAGACAACCCAAGCACATAAAAACCACATGAATCATGATGAACTGGTTATGATAGATATGGCAGATAAAAGTTTACATTTGTACTAGTATCTTTTTTATGTCAATACCTTGATCCGTTGTTGCTATCTGCAGGAACAGAAGAGTGACCAGAGACAGGACGAGGCGGGGTCGTTGAGTCAGGACTCGGACAAGGGTTTGTGTTCTGATGTTCAACACGGGAGATAATAGCAGAGATGTGATCAAGACTGGTCATATCAGTAGGATGAACCGTGTTGAAATCATTGGAGGATGTTTGAGTCTCTCTTCTGCGAAGCAAACAACGTCTATGAGCAGCTTCAGTGAGATGCCTCAAGAACTGTTCATCAAAGCTGCTAAACTGTGATTCCTCCTGGAAATAAAAAATAGATCATTATCTAGTCAACACTAGTAGAACCAAAAACTCTTTAATCTAATAAGTCACAATGGATTACTTTTCGAACCTCTTCTGAGTAAAAATCCTCATGAGAGTGATGAATAGATCTTGGAGAGGATGAAGATATGTTCCTGGTTTTCATCATTCTTTCCTTTTCCACAGCAGACAAAAGCTCTTGGCTACACAAAGGAACCAGTGCTATAGTAAAGTACCTTTGTATTGTACTTAAAATCATCAAAATCAAATCTTTTCTAAACCAAACGGATCAGTAAAGACTAAGACGATGATGATTACCTAGCAGGATCTTTCAAAACAAACAATTGCCAGCAAATAGGACACTCTTTGCTTCTCTGTGACCTGTGTAAATCCCAAATTACGAATCAGTCACTGATAGATGACAAAGAAGAACAAGATTCAAATCTAAAACAGAGCTGAATAAGATCACAGATCGTTTTATACATAAGTACCATTCAATGATGCACTGAAGGTGATATTCATGTTTGCAACTGGTAACCTGAAATTGAAAAAACCCATAAACATACATCGGTAAATTTTCAATGTTTCACTTTAGATTCAAAAGGGTCAGATGATAAATTCGAGACTATCATTTGGGCAATCAATGGCATTTCCATAAACATCCTTTTGATCCTTTCAAAGATGGGTCAGAGAACAAATGATCGGTAATCAAACGATCTCGTATAAAATCGCAAAAGGAAGGCGAAATCTCATCTCACAATCGAATAATCCCAGATTTCAAGCAAGGGAAGAAGAAAATCGTAAAACCCAACAAGAGCTGTCAAATGCAGAACTGAAAAGACAGAAAGAGGATGTAGAATCTCACAGTGGAAGGGTCCTGGGGAGTGAAAGGCTCGAGACAGATGCTGCAAGCGTCGTCGGTATCATCGTCGGAGGCTACGAACGCAGAGGAGGGAGCAGAAGAAGAAGAAGCGATTGCGGAATTGAAAGGAGATTCAGATAAGTTGAAAGCAGAAGTATAAGTGAAATTAGACATTGTTGCAGCGAGTGGGTGATGAGCGAAGAAGGTAAAGAAGAAGAAGAAGAAGCTGAGGATTGAGATCAAGAGGAGGAGGAGGAGTATGATCAAAAAAAGGAAGACTGACGAGTCAAAGCAAAGAATGATGAGGAAAAGTCAAAAAGAAATTGTGAGGAGGAGGAGAAAAGTTCGATTCGACTGTTCCACTTTTACCTTTTCTTTTATCATTTACTATATTTTATTTTTATTTAATAAGTTTGTTACAACTTATTAAGTTATTGGGCTTTTTGCTGGCTACCTCTAATCCACTAGTTTTGATTCTAAACGTGCTTCACCATAGATATATGGACCCAATTCGAAACAGTTGAAGAATATATATATTGGGGCTTTTCTTTTTTGGGCAAAATCTAAAAATCCAAGTTTTTCTTGATTTCAATCGCCATTTTTTAACCAAACTTCCCAGCATTTTTTTATAGCAAATGTCACTCTTTTAAATTTTGTGATCCTTTTGAACCAATCTTGACAATTTTATCAGCATTTGTCGCTTTTGTAATCTCATAAAGTCATAATCGCCATTTTTAGAACCAACATCTAAAAGGGGTGTATTGAATTAAAAATTTAAAGAGATTTGATGGTTGTTTTAAAAATCTCTGTTATTAAATTAATGATTTTTAAATGTCTCACCAAAATTTATTTTTATCCTAAATCTGATTAATAATGAAAACATGTTTATGGTTCTACCAACCCTAAGAATTGAAGCTAGATCGCAAGTTAGCTTATATGTATTAAGAACAATAATAAATTAAGAATTTTTCAAAGTATTAATAATTAAAAATATATCATATTCATATTATTTTTTATATTATTAAATATTATATATAAAATATCAACTTATTATATAGTAACACATGGTTAACTAGGGTTTTCATAGTCTTTTGTTTGAATAGACATTGTTCTACTTTTTCTTTTCTTTTTAGTTATTATTAATTTTTTTAATTCTGAAAGACTTATGTTAGAGATGGATGAAAATTCTCTATACTGAAATATGGATTGAAAACCTGTTGATAGAGATGTTTTTATTGTTAAATTGGGTTCATTGCATCTTTTTCCCCATCCCTTGACTTGGCATACTGTAGTAGTAACTAAAAGTATTATTCATTGATCATCCTTTTTTTGGGCGGGAAATTATTCTATTTAGTACAGTAAACGAAGCTCCTTATATGTTATCTATGGAGCAAGTAGAAAGAGTTATGACATGAGCTTGATCATGGGCATAAAGTGTTCATGCATCTGCGAGCTTCTTGTATTGGGAGGAGAGGCTAGAGCGGAGGAAATTTTGTTTTGTAGGGTTCTTGGTGGTAACGTTAATGAACTTCTGGTACCATTTGCCAGAATCTTTTAAGTTTCTATCAGTAACGTCTGTCCAGTTAACGTAACTGAGTCCGAATCTGACGCTAAAGCCTTTACAGAATTCATAATTATCTCCAAGAGCCCATGCAAAGTATCCTTTTATGTTGACATTCTTCTCTCTGCATTGCATGGACAATCATAATTAAAAGGATGATGATATCAAACATGCATGTATGTATGTAAAAGAAAAAAGAAAAAAAACAGGAGTGTAGTAGTAGTAGCTAGCATTCACTCACTTGATGACTTTACTGAGAAAGCAGAGATGACTACAAAGATAGTCAATCCGCTTCGAATCGGCAACAGCCTCCTCACGGGTTTTTCGGAACCGAGGCTGCTAATTCCTAATCAAACCGTCACGGTACATGAACAATTGGTACAATATTTGAGTCAATATATTCAGAGAAATATTGGAAATACACTTAACATGAAAAGATACGAGTAGTAGAACTCACCGTTCTCGGTGATATAGATTAAAGGATCACCGTATCTGGTTTTGAAGTGATCCATTACGTAGTAAATTCCCTTTGGGTAGTAATAGCTGTTGCCGCTTACCTTGTCTTCAGAGAACTGAGAAACAGAGGCGAATATATATAAGCCAGAAAAATTATTTTGCTTAAAGTATTTATTATTAAATGGAAGAATCATGCATATATATATACCAGTGGACCAGGAACTTCACCACGTGAATTTTCAGCTGTAGACACAAGGATGATGAAATAATTGATGGTCAGTCACACAATATGTTTTGTAATAGAAAGGTTGTAACTAAGTGGTAATATATAGAGTAGTACACGTGAGCTTTACGCATGGGTCCATCATGGCAGTGTGCTTTGGCGAAGGAAATGGGTTAGCAGCTGGCTGTGCATACTGAGTGACGTAGTAGTTGAGGCCAAGAAAATCATATGAACCCTTTACGAGTTTGGCTTCTGCTTCTGTGAAGTTGGGAAGACGACTTCCCACAATTTTCCTCATGACGTCTGGGTATCTACCTTTTGTTAGCGGCTCCATAAACCTGATCCATGTAAAGTACATGGTTATACATGGTTATACCTAAGTTGGGATTTATATATAGAACATATATTAGTAATGTTTTTAAAAAGACGTTTTCATTTGTTGGTACCATCCTAAGAAGAATTCTTTTATCCTCTCAGTTGCATCTATGCAGGCTTTATCAGTCTCATCATATGGAAGAAACCATCTAGTTATCATCACAGGTCCGATCTTCCCTCCTTGAAACTGTTGGTCATGATATACACACAAATAATATGATATAATTAGGAATAGCTAGATATGTTAGATTACACTTTTTTCTTATAAGTCATGAACTAACCTTATATTTCTTCCTGTAAAGATCAACCACCGCGGCATGAGCAAGAAGCTGGTTATGTGCAACTATATAGGGTTCCGTTGAAGAATTTCCGCCGTAACATCTCTCATCAATCGCTTGAGAACATCGACCGGGTGCATCTGTCCCGATTGCATAGCCTCTCGTAGGAACTGTGTAGAGCTGGTTGATAGTGAGCCAGTTCTTTACCTTTCCACCGAATTCCTTGAAACATAGATCCGCGTAATCTTTGAAATCATCTCTGCGCATATGTTATAGAATTGTTTCATTCATTGCAAGATCAAATCTTTATACGCATGCTGCCATATTTCTTTATAATATAAGAAGCATGGTGGCACTGCAGAAATAACATACATGACTTCGCGGCTCAAGAAACCTTCATACTCATCTTGCAGTGTTTGAGGAAGGTCCCAGTGAAAAAGGGTAACGAAAGGCGTTATGTTCTTTGCGATGAGGGCATCTATGAGTTTGTGATAGTAATCAAGACCTCCTTTGTTCACTCCCCTACTCCTTTTTCCTTCTGCTCATTCATGTTTACATATTCGTATATTTAATCTTCCTGAAAATCTTAATCAAAACACAAAGACTTGTATTGTATGTATCCATAATGTGTACATACTTGGAATGATTCTTGACCACGCAAAGGAGAATCTGTAGCCAGTAGCATTCATTTCGATTATCGCCTCTACATCTTTCTGCAATTTACATATACAACAATCTCATATCAATCCACACCTAGTTAATTAGATAATTCAATTAGTATGTGTTTATAGGAATCAACCTCCCATCTTGTATATGACTCACAAGTTGTGTCTCCATTCCCATGATCTGGTCCTCCTTTCTCTGATAGTAAACAAATACATAATTACTTTGAATATATATATATATAGACCTATTATTTATACACGTAAATATACAACAGCATGCAAACGACATACATACCTGGGTATCGGTGAGTGAAGCCATCCCAAACGTTTAGACCACGACCTCTTCCTCCTTCGACCTGAAATGAAAAGAAACAACCATGCAACGTTGGAGTTATGCTTTTTACTTATGGTTTTCTACACAATGTGTAATGATTTGTTACATGCCTGGTACGCAGCAGATGCAACACCGAAAATGAAGTCTTTATTGAAATTTTTACTGCTTAAAACGTCAATGTTTCCACATGTGAATGGCTCCTTCTCTTCGCAAGAAAGTTCCTCATCTGCTTTGCAAGTAGTCGCTAAAGCTGATAGAAAAACAACCAAGGCGACTCCGTGAAACTTCTTCATGGTTATTTTTTTGTGTGTGTTTGTGTTTGTGTTGGATGGAACCTTGTTGCTGATGTAGGGTTTATATAGCCATTGTAAAGAATATTGACGTCTGCATTTTCTTGTGGGAGATGTTTAGCTGAGTTGAATCTCGTGGGTCCACCGATTTTGGTTTGCTATCACGAGATCATATCCTAAAACAATCGAGTAATTAGCTCCAATTAGTAAAACATTAAGCATATGTGTGATGTGTTCCTTATCGGGAACATGACTTGGAATACGAGTTGTCTTATATTCAATTGATCGTCCACAATAACATAGTGCTACATGTATGGAACGAAATACCTAGAACGACATGCATAAAATTTGTAGTAGATAATGTTCAAAACCTATTAAGTTTGGCCATAAATTTTAGATTAAGGCCATAAATTTTTTGAAAAGGTCTATGGAAATATAATCAAGTACGTTTTGAATCTAGTGTAGACGAGAAAAATCATATATATAATTAGAGAAATTTCTTTCCATCTAAAATGTTCACATCAACATTTTTATTTTTATTTTTTGAACTTTTAAGTATTTTGGTTTTCACATAATATTAACTAATGTAAATTTATTTTTATGCAAGTTTTTTGGATTTTTTATGGACTTCTACATATTGTGATCTTTTTTTACCAGCTTATATATATTTTAGGTTTGTATTTTCTAGGCATTCATAGAAAATAAATTTAAAAGTGAAAAAAAAAATATTTATTTTACAAATCATAAAAAAAAAAAGTAAAAATATTATTTAGAATAAAAGACAAAAGAAGGTAAAAAAAAATTGGAAGGCGAATACAAAACATGTCAGAAGAACTTGCGAATGATAGTTATCAAATTTTTTTTAAAAAAAACTTGAGAAGATATATCTATATATATATATAATTAGAGTAAAATTATTTATATAAAATAAATAATTATTTTATGAATCATAAAAACTAAAAATTCTCTACGAAATAAAAACAAATCAATATGTTATTTCAAATATAAACAAAGAGAATGTAGAAAAGAAGTTGGAATGCAAACAAATACGAAAGGTGACGGAAGAACTTGCGGAGTTATCAAACTTAATAAAAAAAACCGGAAAGATATATAGATAAAAGTAAAGTAAAATGATTCATATCTATTTTATTGTGAAAATAAATGAAAGTTTTATATGAAAAAAGACTAAAGTGTTTAATCATATAACATGAAATGAATTTGATTTATACGAAAATAATGATAAAATCATGACTATTTATGTTTCAGAATGAGTTAGATTTTTTAAAATTTATGAAAAATGAAGAAGTTATTCAATTTAAAGCATTGAGATTGTTTCTGCCGGAAATAAGCAATATGAAAAAGGTAGAAACCAGTTGAATAGATATATATGTAGTGGAAAATTTAAATATTTATAACAGCATATAAATATGGATGAAGTTTTTAAACAATTAGCATATGTTAATAACTTCATAATATATCTATATATTTTAGGATAAAAATTAAATAAAAAGTTTGATTAAAAAAATAACTATAAAATAATATAAATAATTTAAAATAAATATAATAATAATATAAATATATAAATTTATAAAATATGAAAATAGATTAACAAATAACTCTGCACAATATGCAGATCAAACCTAGTAATTACAACATTGATTCTAGGCCTCACTCATCACGAGCCTCGCCTCTCACATTCAGAGCATCTCGAATTGATATTTGGCTGCATGATGCTTTTATCACATGAAACCAGAGAGTACTCTTTCTCCACAAGGAGCCATAAAAAACAAGAAAAAACAAAAAGAAAGCGAAGACCTCAATATATTTTGATTTTTTTTCAAATGATCATTAAAAATTAATTGGAGATAATTCGTCATCTGCAAAACAGTAATCTTTTGTGGCTTTCGATTTTTTTTTTAATTGCTGCTATTCATAATAAATTGAGAAGTTAATAGGCTAAAATGACGATAAATTTTTAATATAAAAAAATTAGCTATAAGATACTTGTTGACAAATGATACACCAGTGTTAATTAAAAAAAAAGCAAAAAATTGTCTAAAACTACTAAACAAATATTAATTTTAAAAATAAATTACATAATAAATATATATCATATATATTTTTGAATGAAAAAGCGTTTGTATATATAGATTGAGCAGTATGTAAATACTCTATTTTGAATTTAGAGTTTAGTTTTAAGGTTCTAAACTTACATTTTCATTTAGATTCATGATTTCATGTTAGAGTTTAGTTTTAGGATTCAGAGTTTAGTTCTTAAAATTTAAAGTTTAACTTTTTAGTGTATTATGGTTGATGTTTTAAATATTTATGTGAACGAATTAGTTTATATAGAATGTAGTATGTAAATACAAATTTTGAGTTTGTTGTTTAGTTTTTGAGTTCGCTTCTGGGAGATATCTCTCTAAAGGTGGGATGATAATGATAGCTAGAGCACGATGATATGCACGCATCGCATACCATTGAGCTTCTTGGGGCCAAGTAGGTGGTCGGGATTGTAATCGCAAGGTCAGGCGCGGAAAAGCGCAAACGAAGCAAGTAATGCGCCAAAATGAAAGGGTTACAACCGACGGTCAGCAATGCCGGTCCAACGATTTTTGATGCCCTATACAAATCTAAAAAATATGCTTTTTATATATTATATTTAAAATTACAAAATATTAATTACAGTTAAACTTTATTAAACAATCTAATTCCGAACAAACAATTCCAATTCATAAACAGTTTATAAGGAGAAAAAATAGAAAATAGATATTGTTGAAATATATTCTTTTTACAGTTATGCCTGTAAAATCATTTCATAAACTCACTAACCGATAACTTCAAATGTTCATCATCTCAGTAAAATAATTATATACAAAAATATTTATTAATTTATCTTATTTTATCAAATAAAAATGAAACAATGATCAACCTTTTTTCATGGAACTTAAACGTTATCAGAAACTGCTAAATTCATAGTTATAATTTTTTTTCTCTCATCTTTCCAAAAAAATTTAAATACCAAAAACCGTAAATATAAATCAACAACTCACATATGTGACAATAACAAAATTATGATTACGGCATTGAAAATATAAAGTATGTTTTTGAACTTTGATCGACTACATGTTTTATTTAGGTTTTCTTTTTTTGTTAAATAGAGTTTTAATAATAAAATTGATAATTATTTGATAATAAACGTAATAAGTATATTTGTTAATAAAAAGCCATAACATTGTTAACAAACCCAGTATAAATATAGTTTAAAAAAACAGTATAAATAATATTATTGTTAAAAATGCTTGAATCTTTATTTACATGTAAACATATAAAAGAAAATATGTCCCTTTAAGATTTACTGCCCTAATCCGTCGCTTGGGTAGCTTACCCTGTCGGCCGGCCCTAACGGCCAGACAAAAGCTACCCTGTAAAGTTTGAGTTTTGAGGGAACATGCATAGTTAGGAAACGAAAAAAGGGAACATGTAATAAATAGAAAAAAATTACTTTATACATTTACAAGCAAATTTTTGAGGGGATAAAATTCAGCAAAAGCCCTACTACAAAACTAGAAGAATTGCATCCGTCAAGCGACGGATGGGCAACACAAAGAAGAAAAACTAAACACCCTAAAAGAAGGATTTGCAAAGAAGAAAGCAGAAAGGAGAAAATGGTGAAGAAGGAGCCGGTGGAGAGACGATGACTATACCCAAAGAAGGACTACTCCATGTCGGCATTCAGGAGGAGACCTAGGACGTCATGGAGAGAAAAGGCGTTCAAGATTTAAATGCAAAAGCACACCCACGTCTGCCAGCACCACATCTTCTTCCGCGACTAAGGATCTCCACCAAGACCGCTTCCCAAACGAAGCATCAGTCCGTTGATCAGAATGCCCGACGAAAGAGTGTGGTCGGAGCTTGAAATCGGAAAGGAGGAACCTGAAGGTGCAGCTAAGCCGAGTGACCACTAAGAGCGGGCACAAAGTGAATCATTGACGAGTGAGGAACATGAAAAGTATCAGTGACTAAGGAGGAGTTGATGTGGTGAGAGTACTTAAAGAGGATTCTTCGTATATTGGCATATATACAAAGGAGTGATTACGGAAAGTACGGACGTGACGAGCAAACAAGAAGATATGCGCTTCTAGGGCTGAGTGTTTTTCTGTATTTAAGAGAATCGGGGTATAAAGAGTTAGGGGGGAACACTTTCGATATTCTAATGAGAGACTGCATTAAAGCAAAATCGTGGGTGGTGAGAGCTGTGAGGTGAGTGTTTTCTTACAACAGGTTCACGCGTTGTGAGATCTGTGCTTGTTTGTGTTGTAACTTGGAATCAATTGGGGTAACCTAGGAGTCTAGACTTAGTGTAACACCAATCAAAGTGTAATATTGTGGTTAACTTTAATAGATTCAAGTTTTAATAAAAAGCATTTGTCTTGCTACTGTCCAAAACAAAAAAAAAACAATTCTTATCTGTTTTCCTACAGTAACAGAACCTTCCTACCATCCATGTATCTCACCCTGAGATAACTCAGACCTGTGTCAGTAAACTAACCCTCAGCGCAGAGTTAGATATGATTTCTACAAAACACCTCGAGTAAACCATGAAATCAGGCTAACCAAGTATAAGGTGTACCGTTTTGATCACTTAAGCTCAACAAGGAGTTATGAGAAGTGTAAACCGAGTTTTCAAGAGACAAAGTAATAAGAAGTAGTAAAACAGGCGAGGAGTCAAAAGTTATTTTCAATCATTCACAAGCAAGTTTTCGGAGGGATGAAGATTATAAGAAGAGTCCTAATACAAAACTCGAAGAGTTACATCCTCCAAACGGTGGACGAAATGAATTAGAAAACAAGCTAAGCGCCCACAAAGAATTTTTGGATAAAATAGGGGGCCCACAAGAAGACCAACAGCCAACGGATGAAAATACCACTACTATGTGATGTACGTTCCGAAGGAGAAGAGACGCCCATACATCATAGAAGGATAAATAGATGAATGGTCA